TACTTCAATATTACAACCAACATCGGAGGTGCATCATATACATCATATAATCGTTACTTCCCTACAGGTACTGTTTACTAACAAGATGACAGCGCCAACTACTGGCCTGGCATACGTGATGCAGCATTTTTGGCCGTTTTCACGGATGTGTAAACTCAAATAGTTTTGAAAACGTTGTCGTGTACAGGTGAATCTTTTTAAAAACGCAAGGGAAAAACTTTTCCGTTTTTGACTACACCGTTGTCGTGTAAACGTAGCCTTATAAACCACTTTTATTGTGCTTTTGCATCCTGTTTGACGCCTGAAAGTTTCAGCCCTCATTTTATTAAAAAGAATGGCCTGTATAATCTTCAAAAATTCACATTTTGTGTTCCTAGAAAAAGCAAGCAAGCAAATAAATGTTTGGAGCGACATGAGGGTGAGTAAATTACAGAATTTCCATTTTTAAGAATTCCAACAGGCAAAGCAATTGCAAAAAGTGCTGTACGTATGGCTACACTTTGTACAAACCTTTTACCTAAACTGATCCTAGTTTCAACAACTACCTTCTTTTTTCGCCACCATTTTTTTGCCACTCTTCCCGTGCCATTTCTCACTACATAGTGGTATTTGCCAAGCAGCTGTCAGCGAGAAGATTCCCAGCTCACAGACACATTGAGCTATTGAGTGTCAACAGCCTTGTAACCATGGAGCCTTGCCCAACAGGAAGAACTTAAATCATGCCTAGCAAAACATTTCATATTCTCCATTCTCAAAAGTGTGTTTACCCACCGGTGCTTCACCAAACGAAGGACAAATTCAGCTTTGACTTTGACCCAGATAAAAACATTTATCACTTAAAAGAATGACATGAACATGAACTATTTATACCATATTTATTAATGGATTTTTGTCAAAAGACATTTAAGTGAACCTTGTATATCAGAATTCATTTAGGAGTGTAATTTGATTTCTGATTATTATTTGATGTAATTTGATTTACAAACAAAATGGACCACTAGCTGCATACTTTGGAGGTCTACATAAAAATTACAGGTGTACAAGTAGGAAGAGAACAAATACTCAGTTTCAAAAATACCACTTGTATTGAAGTTTCAATGTCACAGCAAAATAGCTCAAAATAACAGCCGGTTCTTTTAAGTGATTAAAACTAATTTGGTGTAGTCCAATTTACAAATAAATAACTCTTGGTTCTTTTTGGTGAATCAAAAACATACAAGGCAAACAATGGTGTCTGCTTCTAAAACAAATTACTTGCCTGAACCAGTTCTACAATGTGAACACTGTAATCCAACTCAGAAACAAATTACTAATGAGCCAGATCTTTTTAGTGAATCAAAAACATACAGTGCAACTAGAACAGTTCTTTTTGGTTCCATTTTGTTAAGCCGAGTTCACACTGCATGATTTTAGCCCCAGTTTTCTCTCGCTGACAGGTTTTGCGAAATCGCTGACAAATGCGATTTCAACAGATGAAATTGGAGGCAAATCTGCAGTCGTTCACGTGAGTGACAATCACGCAGTGTGAATTATCAAAGATGTGACCTGAGAGAATCGTGAAATATTTGGCATGCTAAATATCTGGACCTGTCGGCTGTGTAAAATGACTTCTGACTGAAAAATACATCGCCAATGACCTACATCCAATGAGACAGCAAGATACAGGGCAGCGGACAGTTGCTGATATTGTATAGACCACAATATCAGCAAGCATGGCTTCGGTTCCATAATTTTTTTTTTTGCCCTTTCGCTGCAAATCAGCACACAGACCATTTGTATTGCGAACTTCTTGCGTTTAATAACATTTCCAGTCTCGGACGAGAATCACGCGTGACCTTGCGTCATTTCATTATCACTTCCCGTGTGCATTTGGTTGTGAAATGTAGTTTGCGGACCAGACAGAGTTGTCGGCGATTCTTACTATTGTAAAGTCATGCAGTGTGTAACCTGTCGCCGATCCATCGTGCAATGTGAACACAACAGCAACTGAATGCTACCCCTGATAGTTGTGCAGTGTGAAAACAGCGGTGATCCGACGATTTTGAAAATCAAAAAATTGGCATTAATTGTAACTAAACAGTTTTAACTTAAAAGTATACTCCGATTCACAAATCATTATTTTAGTGAATCAAAAAAATCACAGTTAGAGTTCTAGAAACTAGATTCTAGAAACTAAAGACTTTCAATTAATAGTTAACAGTTTGTAAAGGGCGGTGTTTCAGAATGATTCAGAGATAGAAATGTTTCTTATACGAGCAAAAACAGACATAACTAAAATAGACCCAAATGAACCAGAATTACAATTGTTCAAGGTTTTTATGCCCCTGCATACCATCACAGACTGGAGGTATGCAGATGAAGTTCTCCACTCTTGCCTCGAGACGAGCACTGGGTCATTGCATTCTTCCCCGGCATTAACGTCAGAGCGGACTCGCCGTTTGATCCTTTGTGACGGGGCCGCCGGTCCAATTGAAATTTCCTGCTTGCTGACTAGAGAAGCCGAGCTCTGTGTGGCTGTTCCAGTGAGGACCCAGTCATCCTGACACTAATGGAATAGCCCAACGCTCACAATCACCACACAGAAGCTTCTCAAAGAACCCAGAACAACCGGCCAAACGCCCCCCATCACCCAGCTCTAATCTCCCTCAAAACAGGCACATTAAAAGAGAGCGGCTGACAGCCATAATAGAGAGAGCGGGCCGGGGAACAATACTGCCCCATCCACCGCGTGTCTTACCGTTGGGTCTTACTGTGGCCCTGGCTGGGAGAAGATTTTTGTATAATAGCTTCCTTTCCTGTTAGAGGAGAGAGAGATTTCTCGTCTCTCATCACTCCACCTCTTTATTCTCGCTAGTTTTTGGCTCAGTTTGGATGCCAGTCAGGATGGGTCAGGGAGTCGGAGCTAGTCGTTCGGACTCTTCACGATATGTGGGTGTTGCGATATTCACGGTCTCCTTTAAATAGAAAAGAATAATACATCTTATTATATAAAGCACCAGAGAATAAGTTATCAAGGGATTTTCCAAAGCTGTGGAAAGCATTTATAGGGTAACCATTTGATTTGTAACAGTTCCACTTAGGAACATAGGCTAATAATTAAGTAGTGTGAAACTACTAAAGATTTAGTAGCCTATGCGGTTTAAAAGAACAAAATCAATCATGAGAGATGACCCTTCACAAAGACCCGCCCCTCTTAGTTACTGTTGCTATGTCTGACAAGCCATGCCAGTCTCACGCCACACATTCTCAAGCAGTGAAAAATACATTGCGGAGCAAAGAGGAAACTGACAACACGCCGTCAGACAAGACAAAGCTTGTTACTTTTGACATGAAAAAGTCTCAGCTTTCAAGTTGTAATTTTGTAAGAAATTCAAGCAATAAATACCCTTTTGTTGTTAATATGTTGTTGCAGATTGCTGTAGCACCTCAGTTCAAGTGGCACATGAAGCAATCATCTTCAATCAACACTTAAGGACACTCAACATATATAGATTAAAAAATATATTTAAATTGGTTGTTGTGCCCAAGAGCATGATTTATTAAAGTCCATAGTTTTATGCTTCCAACCACAGGTCAAGTGCTGTAGTTCCATCAACGTATGTTTGCGATGCTGTTTGCAAATATTTATTTGAACTATGGTTTCAGGAATCACCAAATCATTGAAGGCATGTTGGTAATGATTGTTGGTAACGATGGAACTTAAGACCATTGTTGGCTAACAATGTTTTGGAGAAAACTTACTTGGGCCCATTTTATGAGGCGGTGATTTCGTACGAGTTTGTATAATTATAAATCGTTTAAAAATGTATGATTTTTAGCAAAAGGCCCGCCCTAAACATTACCATCATAAGACCGAATAGATCATACAAAAACGTAGGCCTATGTATGAGATTGTACGAATTCATACGAATTAACCACTAATTCGCCAAAACATAAAATAGTTCCGAATTGCCATGTCTCAACATGTTAATGCTGTGACAAGTTAAAAACAGTTTGACTTTGGAAAAACTACACTGATAAATGTGCTAATAGTTTGCCATTTTGAGATTTTCAGCATTGTCCGATTACAATGATTGCATAATCAACTCATAGAAACACCACAAAATCTACTGACAGCACAATTAGTTTACTAATAATTTACCATAAATGTTGCATAAAAAAAAAGTTGTTACATTTTATCAGTAGGCTATCTGCTATTCAAAGGCGAATATTGGTTAACAATTAGTTATCATTGCTTT